TGAACTTCTTCTTTCATCACCATAGGCTCTTGCTCATATGTTGCTTCATGAAATTCTTCTGTGTCTTCCAATTCCTTTCGATATAGTGACTCAGTATATTCCTTCCATCTTCTTTTTATTTAAGGCAATTCTTTATAGCATGACTGCATAATATGAATGAACAAGGAATGATGGGGCGATATCTTTAAAAGATATTTTAAAGTAGCTTCTGAGAAAGGAGCTCTGGTGGCCTAGTGGAGAGAAGCTGTGCCGCAATCCCAAAGGCCATGGTTCAAATCCACCAGATGCTCCAGTGGAGAAGGAGGGGCAATCTCCTCCTGTGCTTTTCAGATCTGATTCGATGGTACACAACAACAACAATAAAGAAATAACAACAAACAACCCCACTGAAGTAGGTTCTGCAAAAATAATACATTGAAATATACTGTACCGATTAGTAGATGTTAAACTACTGGGTTTCTTAATGTTAATCAAAGGAGTCACATTAAGCAAATTATTTCCATTCTCTGAACTTCAGTGCTGTTATCTATAAGAATGATTAGCTCCCTGTTCTATAAATTTACTTAAACTGTATATGCATTCTTCTTGTTGTTATTGTTACATGCTGTCAAGTCACAACTGATTCACAACTGACCCTCCAGCATGTTTTCAGAGGAGATAACTGTTATATCACAGGAGGAGATTTCCCATCTTCATCCTGCGCACATCTGGTGGATTTGAACCCTCCCTTTGAGTTGGCAGAGCTCTCCCTCTGTCAGTTATTCCTCTGATATAATAACCACCCTTTCCTGAGGAAGCTCTGGTAGCTTAATGGTGAGCCTGGAGTCTGTGAGCTATGAATCAGTTCTGACTCGACAGTACTCCACAACTATTTCTTGAGAATTTCAGCATCCTGAGGCACTATATTGTTTCTATATCTTGTTATTTTACTGAATCATTGAATTATTCGATTAACTTATATTTATTGATTATTTACTGTGTACAACATGGAATGGATAGAGTGCTAGGTAAAATAGAGTTTGGTCTAGTTTTATTAAGCTTTTTAATTATACTCGTTCTGCAAAAAAAAGAGAGGGTTGGTTTGATTGATTAGTTTATCCAATATCAAACAAGAGTTTTTTTCAAGACATCTCTGATATGAAGATGTGACAGTTTGTAGAAAACCTAATAAATTATGCTTTAAAATTAGTCTCCTGAGTGTTGAATCCCTGTTAAATCCCAGGGGCCCAGCAACGTTAGGTGGGATCAAAAGTCTACAGTCAGAGACCTTTCCAAATTATTGAGGAGCAATGATAGAAGTTTGAAGACTACGGTGCACTTGATTCAGCTCATATTCTTTCTAGTCACTCACTGTGTCTCTGAGAGCTGGAAAATTAATAAGGATGATAAAATAAGAATTGATATCTTTGAGTAGTCGTGTTGAGGAAGAACATTTAATAAGCCATAGGTTTCCAAAGAACAAAGAGGTATGTCTTGGATAAAGTACAGCCAGAATGCTCCTTGGAGGTAAAGATGATAAAGCTTGGTCTCACATACATTGGGCATGTTAGAAGAGGCTATTCCTTGAAAAGGGACATCATGTTTGGAAAGGTGAAGAGTCATTGAAAAAGAGGAAGACCCTCAACCAGAGGGATTGACAAGTGACTGCAGCAATGGGCGTGTGTCAGAGATGACAAGGATGACACAGGATAGGACAGGGTTCAGAAATGTTAATCATGCGGTTGTTATGCCTGGTACTCCACTCGATGGCGCCTAACACCACCATCCTTCTATATGTACTGTCACATAAACTATTTTCCATGTTATTCAATTTATGTTTTATAACTGCTTAATATTTCAGTATACAAGTTTGTACTTTAAAAATTGATTTGTGAAAAATCAGTGCATTTATGGAAATGTTCTTTTTCCCTCAGGCTGTCGTGGTGACTGATGGCGAGCGTATTCTGGGCTTGGGTGACCTTGGCTGCAATGGGATGGGCATCCCTGTGGGGAAGCTGGCTTTGTACACCGCTTGTGGAGGGATGAACCCGCAGGAGTGTCTGCCTATCACTCTGGATGTGGGAACAGAGAATGAGGTAAACAATTTCAGTTCATAAAACAGTTACTCACTTTACAAAATGAGGCCAATTCTTAATTTTTTAACTTACTCCAGAGGCTTCTTGAAATTTGTTCTTTTCTGTCTGACTCTCCTCCCCAGCCCATATTTCCAGTATCCCTCCACTACAGTGTAAAAGAAAATGTTCCTTTCTCTTATCCGTTTACTGTTAATTTTGTCTCAACTTTCTGAAAATGTTACCATTCTTTGGTGAGCAATTACATCATTAAACTATGGAGTGTATGTTTTACTTTATGACATTCTATCATATTATATTCTTTTCCCAGTTATTCTTTTCATATTGTGGGAACTAGTCCATAAGACTTTTAAAAATTACCCAGTTTAAAATCTTGTTCAGAAAAGTATATACTAGAATCTGACATCCATAGTTGGAACCAGCTTATAGCTGACCCCCCAACAGTTTTTAGAAGCAGTAATTCACATAGGAAGAGATTGCCCATCCTTCTCTCATGTTGGTGGATTTGAACTATGTGACTTTGGGTTTGCAGCACAGCTTTTTACTACTGGACCACCAGAGCTTCTTGATATCCATGGTTAAGGATTTAGCGTTTCTTATTCCTGCATTAAAAATTTTTGTATTAATATAGTCTCCTGCAACTCGACGGCACTTAACAACAACAACAACA